AGTATTTCGGAGATGTGGTTAACATCTATAATCAGTTAACGTTAAATAGCAGCCTGTACTTCTCCATATAGTTCTCAGCATGCTGTACTGTCTAACAGTGATGGCAAACCTATGACACGCGCATCAGAGGTGACACGCGAACTCATTTTTTTGGTTAATTTTTCTTTGTTAAATGGCATTTAAATATATCAAATAAATATCAAAAATATAAATCTTTGTTTTATTATGGTTGCAAATATCAAAAAATTTCTATATGTGACACGGCACCAGAGTTAAGTTAGGTTTTTCAAAATGCTGACACGCCGAGCTCAAAAGGTTCGCCATCACTGGTCTGTAAGTTCCATTCCATCATGATCTCTCCATGAGGTTAAGAACCTTGAGATCTTTGCTGATTTCTCTAAGTTGTTCTAGCAATTTTGAGAACCAGAGGGCCCCCAAATTCGTAGCCAGTTGGTCATAAATGGGGGTGGCAGTCTTATGGAGGATGGACCCCTTAACTTGTGGGATATGTGCTAACTCTGGGTGGTTAGTGCCAGAATTAAATTGTAGTACACTAGTTGGTGTTGGAATGCCTATCCTGAATCTTCCAGTGGCTCCTGCTCCATGGTGCCAAAAACCTGAGGCCCCAGCAAAGACTGGATCTGAAATACAGTTGGCAAAGCCTCCTCTACAGAGGCCCATAAGGTAGCAGCAATGCTTCATGTCTTTTCTTATTAAAGGAGCATTATTTTAAAAGTGATGGTGATACTGGATATGGTGCTTTTCGGCCTGTGTTAGGATGTTCTGAATACACAGTAGTAGGTATTGTAGAGCGAGGTTGTGAGAGTGATGACAAGTTTCATGTAAAGATTTTGCCTTTTCTAAACCCTGGTTACTATCAAAGAATACATTCCTAAGGAATATTCCATAGGAACAAATTAAATATCTGTGAGAAATACTCAAGGCAACAACCTTACAATTCAAAACCGAGACGTTGACATAGGGTTATATTTTAACATGTTTGTGTGAATTTTAAAAAATCTGTTTTGGCCGGTTGATTTGATAACAAAGCCTGGCTTTGCCAATTAATTTTTAAGTTATACATACAATGATTGAATCAAATCTGTAGTTCCAAGGTTTTAAAAGTATATACTTAAAGCTCATGATAAAATAAATAATTTTAATAAGTAATATTGTATTAGCAAAAGGTTTGTGGAAATGTTAATATCTTTATTTTCTCAACCCTGAGTTAAAAAATAAGATCCCTTGAAATGAAAGAGTTATAGTATAATCCTATCTAATAATAGACAAACATGGTAATTAACCATACCACCGCTACGCTTCCCATTGGCTAATCAGCAGGATATGCAAATTAACTGCCAACAAAGATGGCAGCCGGCTGCCACACAGCTGAAGTGAACATGAGGGTTGCTTGCTCCAGTGATGGAGGAAGCCAAGGTTCCCCACCTGCCGCGGCCCAGCTCTGAGCTCCGGATACAACAATGTTGCAATTATAGAAGCTAAACAAACCCCAGATACCTGCTTTCAGCTGGCAGCGGGCTCAGAGCTTAGAGCCCCAGTGATGGCAACAGAGTTTCAATTATAGAAGCTAAACAAACCCAGATACCTGCTTTCAGCCAGCCATGGCCTCAGAGCTGGAGCCGGCTTTCAGCTCCAGTGACAGCTATAGAAGGTAAATAAAACCCAGAATAAAAAGAGAGAGAGAAAAAAGAGGCTGGGAGCTTCAGTCGCCTGCCAGACTGAAAACGGACCTCAGCCCCTCACCCAGACTGGCTAGGCACCCCAGTGGGGACCCACACACTGAAGGGGGTGTGACCAGCTGCAAACAGCCATCAGCCCCTCACCCAGGCTGGCCAGGCACCCAAGCGAGACCCCCACCCTGATCTGGGACACCCTCAGGGCAAACCAGCCAGCCCCCACCCGTGCACCAGGCCTCTATCCTATATAATAAAAGAGTAATATGCAAACTGACCCTAACAGCAGAAAGACTGGGAATGACTGGTCACTATGACACACATTGACTACCAGGGGGCAGATGCTCAATGCAGGAGCTGCCCTCTGGTGGTCAGTGTGCTCTCACAGGGGGGAGCTCTGCTCAGCCACAAGCCAGGCTGATGGCTGCCAGTACAGCAGTGGTGGTGGGAACCTCTCCTGCCTCCTCAGCAGCGCTAGGGATGTCTTACTGCAGCTTAGGTCTGCTTCCTGCTGGCAAGTGGACATCCCCCGAGGGCTGCCGGGCTGCCAGAGGGATGTCTGGTTGTCATCTTAGGCCCAATCCCCCAGGGAGCAGGCCTAAGCTAGCAAGTGGTCACCCCCGAGGGGTCCCAGACTGCGAAAGGGCACAGGCTGGGCTGAGGGACCCCTTACCCCCAAGTGCACAAATTTTTGTGCACCGGGCCTCTAGTTATTAATAATTTGATGTCTTTAAAAAGCCTTTTGGTATACTTCCCAGATATTGAGAAAGTGAATAACTCAAACAAAGGAGGACATAAATGAGGTTCCTGATGATAAGTCATAAAAAATCTTTAGTGATAGAAGACTATGTGATATTTAGCATTTATCTTGGAAGGAGATTAAAACTTTGAGTGACATTGCAGTTACAAAATGTTTTTCACATTTACCTATTTATTTGGACAGATTTTCTCAGTGTTTATGTCTATAAAAACAAACTATGAATAAAACTAATGATGAATCTTGTCTTATCTAGCAATAACTAATATTCCTCTGCTAACATTTGAACTACTGATAAAAATATAGCACCATTCATCTCAGCAAAAATGCATCAATAAAATATGTCATAGAAGGTTATATTGGACTAACCTTTTTATGGATAAAATTATAAACTTTGGACAAAATGTAAGAATAGTTCCAGTCATGTACCACATAACATTGTTTTGGTCAATGATGGACCAAATATATGACCATGGGACCATGTAGTGGTCCCATCTACAGGCAGTCCTCAGGTTCTGTTGGACTCAATGTATGTCATTTTGTAGTTACATCGCCATCTCCCATTTACAATATTTATTTTAAAAAAAAGTTCCATCATTTCAACATATGTACATATGTGCTTTATGTTTTTTATTATTTACTTACCACAAGTAAAGGTCAGGAATTATCTTTCTTTCAATTTTTTTTTACTTTTTCACTTCATTACTGCTGTGTATGTGCTCCATGTGAGTGATGTAGGTGCTTATGTAGGTGGGCTCCAACTTACGGCGAAAATCGCATTATGTTGCGCCATAGAAACTGATCTCTGAGGACCTACTGTATATATATAAAAGCTTAAGCGACTGTCTGACCATACGACCATCCGACTGGTAGCTATGACACACACTGACCATCAGGGGGCAGACGCTCAACACAGGAGCTGCCGAGCTTCGGTGACTTGGCAGCTGCAGTTCTCAGGTGATGAACCGGGAACCAGAGAAGAGAAAGCCTGATTCTGGGGTGCATCACCATCACCACATCTCGCAATCCAGGACCCTTCAGTGGATGTCAGAGAGCCGGTTTCCACCTGATCTCAGCAGGCCAGGCTGAGGGACCCTAACGGTGCACAAATCCATGCACCAGGCTTCTAGTAAGATTATAACGGAGCTGAAAATGCTATCACCTAGTGATGTCATAGCTGTTATAACATTGTAGTGCAATGTGTTATAGTTGCCTACAGTATTCAATACAGTAACATGCTGTACAGGTGTATAGCCTTGTTGTAATAGGATGTCATTTAACCTAGGTGTATAGTAGGCTATACCATCTAGGTTTGTGTAAGTGTACTCTATGATGTTTGCACAACAATAAAATTGCCTAATGAGCCTTAGCTGGTTTGGCTCAGTGGATAGAGCGTCAGCCTGTGGACTGAAGGGTCCCAGGTTCGATTCTGGCCAAGGGCACATGCTCAGGTTGCAGGCTTGATCCGCAGAGGGGGATGTGCAGGAGGCAGCTGATCAATGATTCTCTCTCATCATTGGTGTTTCTATCTCTTTCTCCCCCTCTCCCTTTCTTTCTGAAATCAATAAAAATATATTAAAAAATAAAAATAAATAAAATTGCCTAATTGATGCATTTGTCAGAGCATATCCCCATCGGTAAGTGATGCATACTTATACTTGAAGGCACTAGAAAGTAATCAAAAGCCAGCTGGCAATAATTGAAGAGATGGCCACTCTTCGAAGAATTGAAATATAATGAGTATAATTTATGCTCATACATCTTTCCATCTGAGAGTATTACTCAGTTTGCACTGTAAAAGGCAGCTGGAACTCAATCAAAAAGCCACCGTCTTAATGGCTTAACGAATTAAAGGATGAAGTTGGGGCTTCTGCAGCAGCTAGAAATTGAGGCAAAAAATCCCGAAAAAGAGGGAGGAACAAAGGGAGAGCGTTCCAAAATTTATACATACACTCTGCCCAAATCCTTGGTTGACCAATTAATGGGATGATATAAATTAATAAAGAGCAAAAATTGAGGCACTAGAAAACAGAAAATCAATGGTACAAGAGGTAGGTTTTTTTTTTAAGATTAAAAAGTGTGATAAACTTTTAGCTAGATTAGTCAGAAAAAAGAAAAGGAAATGTCAACTACCAATATCTGAACAAAAGATAAGGTCCTTCCTTTCGTGGACTTCTAAGGGCTAAATGTTAACAGTCATGTGAGGAAAGGCACAGGTGGACTGTGGCAAACGCTGTGGGAGAAATCTACAGAGGAAAAAGGCCGACATGGAACGGAGAGGGTATTCAAGGCAGTAACTGAACTCAGCCCCAGGAGCTCCACGAAGGGCAACCTCAGCCTTCCCCACCCGTTTTCCCCAAGGCTCAAGGCAGGGGAGGTTTCTAGCCGCGTGCCGCGCCCCGCCCACCAATGCCCTCGCCCCGCCCACCGACGCCAGCGCCCCGCCCACAAACGCCCGCGCCCCGCCCACCGACGCCCTGGCTCTTACGCGGCAGGCGTAGGCGCGCGGCGCGGCGCGGCGGGGCGGGGCGGGGCGGGACCACCCATGGGCGGGAACCTGCCCCGCCGCAAGGTAGTGAGGTGGCTTCAGTCCGACCCAGCTGCTCCCGGGTCCCCGGGATGCCGAGGCCAGACCCCGACACCCCGCCTCTCTGAGCGGGTCTCGGCGCAGGAAGCACAGAGGGGGGCCATGGCTGAGTGCCCCGAGCCCGGGCAGTTGGCGGCCGCGGGCGGCGCTCTCCTGGACGGCGAGGACGAGGAGCGCGAGCCGCTGCTGCCGCGGATCGCCTGGGCCCAGCCGCGGAAGAGCGCCCCGGGGACCGCCGTGAGGATGGTCGAGGCTGCCGGGAAGGAGGGCGCGGCCTCTCTCAGGACCATCGACGAGGACGTGCTGTTCGGACCCAACGACTCGCCCCGCTGTTCCTCCCTGGACGTGGGGCTCCCGAGGAGCTCGCCCACCCACCCGGACTTCGGCCGCTCCCTGGGTTCAGGTGGGACTCGGCTCTCCCGTTCTCCCCGCGACCCTCCCAGGCCGCCGGTCGCCGCTCCGGCCCCCCTTCTGCCCCCGGCTCTGTTCTCCGCGTCACACTAGCACTTGTCTGGGAGGCAAGGCAGGTGGCTGGGCATCCCGCCCGGGACCCAGGCCGGGGACCGGCCGCTGCTCGGACCTGGACGCCTTCCTGGCCTCTCCTGCTCCCGCGCGCGCTGCCCCTTTCCCAGGGGCTGTGGGCGGCTTCGCCTAGCAGTGGTTCTCAACCTCCTGGCCCTTTAAATACAGTTTCTCATGTTGTGACCCAACCATGAAATTATTTTCGTTGCTACTTCATCACTGTAATGTTGCTGCTGTTATGAATCGTCATGTAAATATCTGCTATGCAGGATGGTCTCAGGCGACCCCTCTGAAAGGGTCGTTGGACCACCAAAGGGTCGCGACCCACAGGTTGAGAACCGCTGGAAGGGCTGTGGTTGTCCCCAACTCCGATCCCCGAGCCCTCCCTGGAGAGTGAGCCTAAACGTTTAGAATCAGACACTGAAGGAAGCTCGACAAACACTGTAAAGTGACCTAAGTTATTGGCTCAAAGTTTGGACTTGAGTTTTGGGTTAAGAACCCTGAACCATCAGGAAAGTTCCCCGAGTTGGGAACTTGCAAGATGGTGCGGTAAAGGATGCCCCGTTGCCCCTGGAACGCGTTTCGAAAGCTTTTGCTGTTGAATGTTATTGTGACGTTGGCCAGAGGGGGCAGAGGCCGTTGATTTTCTGTACCTACTCTCTCTCCTGCCGTTTTTTTTTTTGCGTCATTTTCTATTTACCTGAAGAAGAAGAAGAAAACATTTTCATTATTAAACGGACTAATAGCCGCAGGTGGAAAAGCAGGTAACTGAAATGAGGTTGAAAGTTAGTGAAATGTAGGGACACTACTGCAGGCGCGGATATTCATTCATAAAGCAAGTTTTGGGGCATGTCGAGAGAAGACTGGTAAGAGTCCTAGCTAAAGATGAGACAAGCTGGCTTGTAAAATTGTGTTAACACCTGTGTGTTAGTGGTTAGGATGGTTTACGTGAGACGGTGTGTGCACTACGCCCAGAGTATCGCTCCATACAGGAGAGCTTAAAACAATGAAAATAGTTTTCATTAATGCTGCTGTTTTTCCGGAATCGTTAGATTTTACCTCTGCTGCTGCTACTACATTAGTGGGCCTTCTACGTTATGAAGAATTTTAGATAGAATAGGTCAGTGGTCGGCAAACTCATGAGTCAGCAGAGCCAAATATCAACAGTACAACGACTGAAATTTCTTTTGAGAGCCAAATTTTTTAAACTTAAACTATATAGGTAGGTACATTGTTATGAACTTAATTAGGGTACTCCTAAGGCTTAGGAAGAGCCACACTCAAGGGGCCAAAGAGCCGCCTGTGGCTCGCGAGCCGCAGTTTGCCGACCACGAGAATAGGTTATTTAAATTGCAGTTGAACTTAAGAGTCAACATATTCTAGAGCAGTGGTTCTCAACCTTCCTAATGCCGCGACCCTTTAATACAGTTCCTCATGTTGTGGTGACTCCCAATTTCATTGTTACAAATTGAACATAATTAAAGCATAGTGATTAATCACAAAAACAGTATGTAATTATATATGTGTTTTCCGATGGTCTTAGGCAACCCCTGTGAAAGGGTCGTTCGACCTCCAAAGGGGTCGCGACCCACAGGTTGAGAACCGCTGTTAAATAAATCAGAGAGGCCTAAGGGAAGCAGCCTTTCCAATTCAAGGGTTACACTAACCATAAAGCTTTAGCAAACTGGTTCGGAGGTGCGGGTCAGCTATCATCATAACGTTAGCTAATGGATGTATTGACAGTACAACATTTAACAGAACAAACATGAAGTTGGAACCACATCACAAATGGACCCATGTTCACCTAGCTACACTGGTAGTTTGGGTATATATTACGTAGAATCCAGTCTGTGAAGTAACTTAAGACCCGTGTGTTTAGCTTGCCTTTTTCTACACCAAAGTTACCTGTGTAGCTATATTTTAAGAACCTAAAACCTTAAAAGTGCATTTATTCTGTGAAAGTGAGGTTTTCTAAATAATATTAAGGCTAGGAAAAGTAAAAAGGGGGATAAACGTACTAGTATTCTGAGTACGTTTATCCCCCTTTTTACTTTTTAAATGGTAATAATTTCTATCACAGTTTATGGTTTAAGATCTTTTTGTGTATACTTCATTAAATCTCACTACAGCACTGCAAGTTAGTTATTCACCCCCGTCCCTGTCATGAGGATTGAAGATGAATAAAACTGTACTGACTAGTAGTTATAGAACCTCAGAGGTCAGCCACAGTTAAGTATCCGGGAAGTGGTAAAGCCAGGCCTGAGCCTAGTTCTTCAGGTCCTGCATATTTTTTTCCATTTTGCTGTGCATCCCCAAGTGTTATAAAATAGTTGTTACTTTTGGTTGTTTATTATAGAGGTCTTATTTTAATGCATTTAAAAGTAGTTTGGAATTGTGAAAGTTATTTGACAAATTTTAAACCAATCTTCTAAAAAATTTATGATGGAGTAATTTAACTAGATTTTTAAGTTTAGTTATTTTTCAGTGAGTACATTAACTTCCTTTGTCCTTTCCATCCATTTTCCACGAAGCCACCTCTCTAGTTTCAATAAATTCTTGCCTGTAGATTAATAGTAGCATAATTTATGACTATCCTGTTTATGTAATTTGTGTACTTTAGTGAAGGATGTCATATGTCTCATCTTTAACAAGGCATTTGACAAAGTCTAGAACCAGCATAAACCAGTGTTGTTGGATCAGTGTCAAAGTAGAAGGATTAGTGGCATTCCTTGTTCTAATTGTCATTTTAATCAGTGAATTGGAGAGTAATAAAGGTGGTAATAACTAATACCTTCATAACAGTAAATGCAGGGTACCCCATATAATAGGGTAATATGCAAATTGACCCTAATGGCAGAACAAACTACCAGTCACTATGAGGCGCACTGACCACCTCTTGGTCCCCTTCCTCAGCTGGCAGGCTCTGATCGCCCAATGGCGAACAGGGAACTGGGGGTGGGTGGCGGGGAACACGGGTGGCACCAGACTGAGGCCCCCACTCCATCAGTCGCCCCACACACAGAGGGCAACCCGCAGCAGGGGCAGGGCCACCAGGTGGGAGGAAATGGCCAACCTCTCAGTTCCTACCCCTGGCTGGCAGGCTCCGATCACCTGATGGCAAACGGGAACTGGGTGGGTGGCAGCGAAGGGCAGGGCTGGCTGTGGACAGCCGGGGAAGATGGCCCTGATCGCAGGCCAGGCCTAGGGACCGTACCTGCGCACGAATTTCATGCACTGAGCCTCTAGTAGTTCTATATACATCATATATTACTCATAACCGACCCTAGGAAGTGAGTACTATTTTTTATTCTCATTTTAAGGAAGCAGAGACAGATGAAGTGACTTCTCCAAGGTCCCAGTTAACACAAACGAGGAGCACATATCAGTTTTGTTAGAGAGCCTAACAATTAAGAGAACAGTGGTAGAATTCACAAAGAGCTACTAAAGTAAAAGGAAATGTGTGTTTATAAGCTATTAAATGATTCATGGTGGCTTATAAATGTAGGAACAAAATAAAATCATTTAAAAGTAAGGATACATTTTTATGTATTATAGAAGTGTACACTTGAAACCTATATGATCTTATTAACCAATGTTGCCCCAATAAATTTAATAAAAAATAAATAAAAGTAAGGAGAAAAGATGAGAATGGGAAATAAGGATAATAAATTACATAAAATGAAGGCTGGATAAGTACACAAAATGCACATCAGGTATTTGATGCAGGCAGCCCACAAATTTGATTTTCAGATTACCAAGCAGCCAACTTGAGAGAAGTATAATCACTGAGCCCATACAAGTTAAACAAAGATTGTTTGAACAAAAATGGAAGTGACAAATTATAATCTATCATGTATTCTCTTGGAGAAGAGACTATATGTTGAATAATACCTTTGTAATAAAAGTGATTGATTTTATACTATTCCTTATAACTTCCCTCAAGCCCATTTCAGTAGAAGTAATTCTAAGGGGTGGTGCTATCAGTATTTCTGAATCTAGATTCAAGACGCTGATAATTTGGCTTAATTTAGAAAAAGTTATCAGAAAAGTAGAAGTTCTATGTGTCTGAACAATTCTCCATAACTGAGCTTTTTTTGAAAGGTAGTAAGCAGTTGTGTGTTGGAGATTATTCCAGTAATAAGAATAAATCTATTCTTTATTTTCCATTTATTGCTGAGATTCAGCATTCATGAAATGTTTGAGTGCCTACTGGGTACGAGTAGAAATGGAGGCCTTGGGAAATCAAATGGATATCTGGTCATCAGCCTTGTCCCCTGTAGCTTTGTAGCCTAATGGAGGAATTGGTCAATTAAAACAAATAGTTTTAATAGATGAAGTAAGTGCTTGGATGGGGCAAGCTGAGGGTTCCATTAAGCTATGCCCTAGATGTTAGGGTCATGGGAAGACTTAGCTGAGGAAGTTGCATCTCAAATGAGAACTAAAGGATGAATAGCACTGAGGCAGGGTTCAGGTCACCAAACTTGTGAACCTAATAATGATTACTCTGGCACCTAAATAATACATTTATTCCATTCAGTATTAAGTATCATCTCTTCAGGGATACATAGTGAACAATAAAGACAAAGTTCCTTCCTTCTTAGGGATTTTCATGGGGTAGATAACAATTATTTGGAATTAGCATATCAATTGTATAGCCATGACTAAAATACTTAGATGACTTTTTTAAAAATATGGAACGCTTCACAAATTTTTGAGTCATCCTTGTGCAGGGGCCATGCTAATCTGCATTGTTCCAATTTTAGTATATGTGCCGCCGAAGCGAGCACAGACGACTTATACCCCTTAGAGTAGACCTTTTTGTAGTATTTTTCTTAGCGCAAACATTTAAAAATTAGTAAATAACAGTATTATTTCTGTCTGAATTAAGGCAAATTTTAAATTAAGAAAAGTTTGTTTTGAATTTTTATAATCTTGGATGCATATAATTGCAATAAATTCGTTCTGTAAGTGTTTATTTAGTGGCTGTTATGTTCCAGGAACTTTAAAAGTGCTGGACATTGGCGGTGAAAAATTCTTGTCTTCTTGGAGCTCACAAATAAGTAAATTATACATTAAGTGATAAGAAATTAAAGTGGAGGTTAAGGGAGATTGGATAGCATCTTGGGGATCATTATAAGGACTCGTACTTTTTCTTCAAGTGAGACAAGAAACCGTTGTGCTGTTTTGTACAAAGGAGTGATATGATCTGATTTATTTTAAAAGGATTGCTATAGCTTCTCTGTTGAATATGGAAAGGGCATGGGTGAAAGGAAGACCAGTTAGGAGACTTGTAATAACATAGGTGAGAGTTGATAATGACTTGATTCACGTGGTGGAAATGGAAATGGTGAGAGGTGGTTGGATTCTGGATATTTATTTAAGGCAGAGCCACGCAACTTGCTGATGAATTGGATGTGGGGGGTGAGAGAAATGATCCAGTAGAGAGGGAAATTTTGATGCAGGGATGAATTACTGAAGAAATGTTCTGGAGTAGTCCCTAAGGTAGGGTCTAGTACACAAAGTGGAAGAGTTGATCTTAGAGCTTGGACAGTTCACTGTAGTGGTAGATGAATGGATAGGACGTGGGTGGGTATACGTGGTGCTGAGGGCTAATGATAATTTTTCTGATTGCTTCTCTTAGTGAAATGGGAAGCTAGGTCAACTGCTGAGAGAGGAGGTGTTGGGAATTTGAGGAGAGGAGAGAGTATGTTCAGAACAGTGGGAGAGTCTATGGACCAGGGGAGTTGCCTTAGTTCAGGCTGCTATAACAAAATAGCATAAACTGGGTGGCTTAACCAACAGCTATAACAAAATAGCATAAACTGGGTGGCTTAACCAACAGACATTTACTCCTCTCAGTTCTGGAGTCTGGGAAGTCCAAGATAAGGGAGCCAGCAGAGTCATATTCTGGTGAGGGCTCTCTCCCTCGCTTGCAGATGGTCACCTTCTCATTGTATCCTCACATGGCAGAGGGAAAAGAAGAGAGAGAGCTCTGTGCACTAATCTCTTTATGGAGGCCCTATCCTCATGACCTAATCTAAACCGAATTACCTCTGAAAGGCCAATCTTCTGATATAGTAACTTTGGGAATTAGGGTTTCCTAAGCAGCATGATACCCACCTGAAGTTTGTGGTGATGGATTTCAAGTGAGACCAGGCATTGTGTTTGTGTGTTTCTCTTGTCAAGTTCAGCTGTCTGAACCTAGGCTTGGTGAGCTGACAGTTGGGTTTAACCAGGATTGGGGGTTTTCCAGGTGACCTGATGAGAGCAAAGAGAAAGAGAGTGATTATATGATGATTGACCCTAATTTAAGCTGACCAAGGAGGGAAATAAGGGCATAAAGGAGGTGAAAATCAGTAGCAACATGCTAGATCACTGCTTTGTAGGTCTCAGTGGGGTGGACGAATTTGGGGGCTCAGGGTACCAGAGAGAGTGAATTAGGAAGATATAAGGTGCTTGAAATTTTAAGTATGGAGAGATTATAGGTAATAACAAATCTAAGGTGTGACCTTGCAGTTGGGACTTAGGTAGAATGGAAAACAAAATCACTGAAGAGAGGAGTTCAGAGTATTGTGCATAGTACTGTGATTAATCCAATAGGGATCTTGTGTTCCATGTGTCATTACCTGAAGCTTAAAGAGAAGTGGGGGTAGAGAGGGGAAAAGGGATGATCAAAGCAGCCTATATAATAATTATATTTTTATACTTTCGTGTCCTGATGCTATTAGCCTGATCCAATATTACAGGTTCATATCATGAGCATTTTCTTAGCTGCTCTTTCTTCTTCTTCATGTGCTATATTAACATTGATTTTTCTCAATGCAGTAAATGTTGGTTCTTCAGAGTTGAATTCATTCTTGGATGATCCAGGGTTTGCTGATACTGTATGGAAAGCAGAGCAAGCAATAGAATTTGGAGTTCTTCCAGAAAGAATCTCTCAAGGTTCAAGTGGAAGTTACTTTGTGAAGGATCCTAAGAGGGTGAGAATTTCACAAACTTACTACATATAACATAAATTTTGGAAAACACTAATTTAAATGTGAAGTGATTGTGAGTTTCTGAAGATATTTTCTTAATAAATCTGATTGCACCTTCTTTTTAGAAGTAAAGATCAGGTTTTGGGTGTGTGATTTTTTTTTCCTCTATTGTTTTAACATTTGGTTTCAGTCATTTATTGAAATGATTGAAATCTACTCACTTTCAGCTGTAGATTTATTGAGTATCATAAGTCCTTACCTTACAGTAGTCTATAACCCTATTAGCCAAGCAAAGTAGAAGTTTAAACTTTCAAAATCTGTTTAATGGCATTTCCAAGTTGCTTGATTTTTTTCAAAGATTTATTTTATGCTAGGAATATTTTTTCCTCACATTACAACCAGAGAAGGAGCCTGGGAAGTTTGAAGTTTGAAGGCATTAGAAAGTGAAATGAATCAAAGTATAATTCTAGGGCAGAAAAGAGAAGCTGATATGGGACTTCGTTCCACTTAGTCTAGAATTTTTCCAGTACCGAAGTTATCATTTATAAAAACTTTCTGAATGATGCATAGCCAGCAGTTCATTTTTTTTAGAAGGAATAGAGATTATAATTTCATCCAGATGTTTTTTTGCAAAGATCGAAGTTATATTTAAAATAAAGTCTTTTTTGAGCTTTAAGTATATAGGTAATGTCAATCTCAATCTTTATTCCAAGTTTGATTCCTCAATTTGTTCTTGTTGACTTTCTTACTAGTGGTTTAGACTTTTTGCATTATAAAGCAATTACATACTTAAAATTATAGTAAGATTTTTACTTCTTATCTAAGGATAATTCAGCCCCTAAATTTAATATGAATATATTTTATCAGACCAGTAGTAAAGATAAACTATTAGATATCCATGAGCAATTTTTTTTTAAGTAACTGTTTGATCTAGATCAGTAGTTTCCAGACATTTTAAAATCAGTGGACTCTTAATAAGTTGGAAGGCCAGCAATATAAAACAGGAGGCATGGAAGTCTATCTGGTTAAATGTCATGAGGTCTTGGAGCCCTGGCCTCCCCTCCCCTCTCACCTTCCCCAGGGTTTCTCAAGAGCACAATTTGAAAACCACTAGCCCCAAGGATTATTGATTTTAGACTGTTGAATGAGAATGAATGTAAAAATGTGATTGGAACTAAATCCCTTAATATCTAAGGGTTTTATGTCCAAGTCTGTGTTGGGAAGATTTATCAGAATGAACTTTATGGATTATTATCTCTATATTAGAAGTCTAATAAAATTTTCTACTTTTTTCCCCTATAGAAAACTATTGGTGTGTTTAAACCCAAATCGGAAGAGCCTTATAGTCAACTGAATCCAAAATGGACCAAATATATTCATAAGGTCTGCTGCCCTTGCTGCTTTGGCAGAAGCTGCTTGGTTCCTAACCAGGGATACCTTTCTGAAGCTGCTGCCTCCCTAGTGGATGAAAAGCTTCATCTGGGCATTGTACCAAAAACAAGGGTAAAGGAGAATTTGTTTTTAAGCATGGACTTTGTTTCTCTGAACATATTTCTAGTGACAGAGCCTAAAATTGAACTCCCTTTTTTGGTAATTCAGAGTCATGAGGGACTAACAAATCGATTCTAGTGTAGAGCCACTAAGTGCTCAAGGGAATGAATGTCTCTTGCACACATGAGCTGAGGTGATGCTAACAAAAGAGGAAAAAGAACTAGTTTTTAAAAAGCAGGTAAAGATCAGGGATCTAGAAATTCTGTTAAAGGTAGAGATAATTAATGTGCTCAAAAGACTTTTTTCTTGGAAACTTCCTCAAAATATTCATTCCTAATTGTACATTTCAAGACTTACTTCTTTCTCCCACTGGCTAATTTTAGGCTGCTTCTCTCAGAGAGAAAGATGTGCCATTTAATTGACTGCAAAATCCCTTAGCCTTTCTATTTTAGATTCTCTGAGGCATTTCGTATAGGATTAAAATTGGCTAATTTATAGTATTCAAGTGAGTTTCATAATGTATATGAATATAAATACTATTATGCAAATTCTAATAACTATTTTTCTAAACCATATGTTTCTAGGTGGTTTGGCTTGGCAGTGAGACATTTAACTACAGTACAATTGACCGTGCAAAAGCTAGAGGCAAAAAGTATGCTTTAGAGAAAGTGCCAAAAGTAGGTAGAAAATTTCACCGAATAGGACTCCCTCCTAAGGTAAGTTACTGTGATAAGCTTTATTTGGGGGCCAATTCAGCACCTATTACCTGAGCTCCATGTGCTAGGTATTGTGCTGTGGGCTGCGGATAGAATAGTAAAGAAAACAATTTTTTCATCTTCAAAGAGCTTTATAGTAAAGAAGCAGTCTCAATGCAAAATAGTAAGTGCCGGGAACTCAGAATAGAGGAGGGATATGTAACCCATTTTGGAGGATTAGCGAATGTTTGCAAGAGGAGGTTGCATCTATAGCTTTATAAAATAATGGCTAGAGCACAGATCCAGAGTCAAACTTAGATTTCACTGCCAGCCTCTCTATCAGTTAGCTCTGAGACCTGAGGCTAGTTCCTTACTCTCCTAGCCCCAGTTTCTATAAAATGGGGGAATGATCGAACCTACTTCTTAGGGTTGTGAGGATAAAACGAAGAGATTTCTGTCAAGTACTTGGTATAGTCCTAGCACATACAAAAGTAAATGGTAGTAACTATGTTTACTCACTACATATTAGCTTTTGGTTTTTCTTAACACTTTTAAATAAAACTAAGGGATGATTAGCAGCTAGCTAAGCAAGGGTGGGAAGGGTTAATGAGAAAGGTATATTAGAAAAAGATCTAGGGGGGTTTTTTTTTGTTTGTTTGACCTGCAGTTTTGTTGTTAACAGCTGTGCATTTATCTAGATCAGTGGTTCTCAACCTTCCTAATGCCGCGACCCTTTAATACAGTTCTTCATGTTGTGGTGACCCCCAATTTCATTGTTACAAATTGAATATAATTAAAGCATAGTGATTAATCACAAAAACAATATGTAATTAGATATGTGTTTTCCGATGGTCTTAGGCGACCCCTGTGAAAGGGTCGTTCAACCCCCAAAGGGTTCGCGACCCACAGGTTGAGAACCGCTGATCTAGATAAAAGAATTCGAATAAAAATTTATGGTCAGTCTAACTTATTTTTAAAATTGTACTCCAAGTAAGCAAGGAGTTGGAAAATTTTTACAAAGCCTGTTACTCCTTGGATATGCTGAAATAAATGTGACTAAAAAAGAATATTATTTACATATTTATGACTACTAGGACTTAATTATCAGTGCTTTTGAGAAAACCTTTAGGAAATCATTAAAATTTCATGCCAACAAGAAGACCATAAATTGTTAAGAAAGGGTAAAAAATAGATTTTCTTTGTGGTGATTTGTTTGTATTTATGAGGCCAACTAGGTCACCCCTTATCTGTGTGTTGTGTGCTGTTTATTTATTTATTTATTAAATATGTTTTTGTTGATTTCTGAGAGAGGAAGGAAAGGGAGAGAGAAAGATAGAAACATCAATGTGAGAGAAACATCAATTGGCTGCCTTCCTCATGCCCCCACTGGGATCAAGCCTGCAACCTGGACATGTGCCCTGACAGGGGATTGAACTAGTGACCTCCTGGTGCATGGGTCGATGCTCAACCACTAAGCCACACACAGGCTGGGCTGTTGTGTGCTATTTAAATTTGTATTTCCTTTAATGTTAACAACAATAATTTTAGTGGTAGAAATGCTTTTTATCCTAAAATAGCTGCTATGCTCCTTGAACATTTTTTATGTGCTATGTATTCTTTATGTGATTATTTAGCATTAGTGTGTAAAAATAGTGTTCTTGATAAATATGGCTTATCTAAATTAGTGTTAACTCTTCTATTTTTCTTGTTGTGTTTATATATTTTATGATACTGCTGAGAAATTTAAAAAATAATCCCTTCGTTCTTGTACTTTCTTTTCTAACTATAGTTCTTAAAATTATAGATTGGTTCCTTTCAGTTATTTGTTGAAGGTTACAAGGAGGCTGAATTTTGGCTTAGGAAATTTGAAGCTGACCCTTTGCCTGAGAATACTAGAAAACAATTTCAGTCGCAATTTGAAAGATTAGTGATTTTGGATTACATCATCAGAAATACAGGTATTAAAGTTCTCTCGTTTGTTCAGTCAAATCTTGTTAGCTTTCCAACTGTATTCAACTCCTGTTATCCAAATCAAAGACATAAGGTTTTGATGCATAAGTCTTGAGGCCACTTTTTCTTTATCTGCCTTCGAAAAGAGAGATGCAGTCGGTCCTGACCCGTTTGGCAGAATTGGAGATCCTGATTCAAAACAGGCTCCTGTCCTGGTGATCATGATCAGTTTCTATCCATAGTGTGGTGTTTCTTGGCAGCTGGACAAAGCCAGTTATCAGAAATGCTGTCTGCATAATATGAATAATTAATACTTGATTGTATAAATTATTTTAGATGCTTATTTTGACTGTAGATAACTTAGTATAGCCTATAAATACATTAAACTCTTAATTTTTTATGCACTGGAAGGGAGCAGTGATATAGGTAATGTAACACAGTGGTTTCCAAATGTGGTCCTTGGCCTACAAGGTCAGTGTTATGTGGGGACTTGTTACACGTGCATCTTCTAGTAGCCCACCCCAGACCTGCTGGCACAGAAACTGCATGTCGGGGCCAGAAGTTTGTATTTTAACAAGTCCTCCAGGTAATTCTGCTGCACTCTGAAGTTTGAGAACCACAGGTTCAAATAGTCACTCATTTATATTGATTTCTCAAAAAATAATATGTACTTTTCTAGATTTAAAATCTTAATTAATATGGTTTTAGGTTAAAGTTAAAATTAGTGTAGAGTCTAGAATACGCGTGTATAAACATTAGGTGAGAGTATTACCATACTCCTGGTAATGGGGTTAGATGCTTTTTCTTTCTAAGGCAGAGAAAAATTATCCCTGATTTTAATAACCTTGACTTAATAGCTTTGACCATCATTGTATCTACCTCATAGAGTCGTTATGAGAATTAAATGAATTAATATATGTTGCCCAACCTGTGTGGCTCAGTGGTTGAGCGTATGAACCAAGAGGTCATAGTTCAATTCCTTGTCAGGGCACAAGCCTGCATTTCAGGCTTAATCCCCAGTAGGGGGTGTGCAGGAGGCAGCCAGTCGATTCTCTATCATCATTGATGTTTCTATCTCTCTCTCCCGCTCCCTTCCTCTCTGAAGTCAATAAAATATATATGCATGTTAAGCACTAGCAAAATATCTGGCACAGAGTAAATGCACATAAATGTTAGCTAACATTTTTTAATTTGTAACATTTTTGTTGTGTTAAATTAGAGTTTTAATATATAAATATATGTCACAGATAACTAATGACAGTTGAAATCAAGAAGTGACTGACTATATTTTTCCCCTTGATGTTAAGCTTTGATACCCATTAAAAAAAAAGTAACAGATATTTGTTTTGTTTTGTTTTATTTTTGCTGTTTTGAAAGACAGGGGAAATGATAATTGGTTAATCAAATATGAAAAGAAGAAAAATGGAAAGGAAATTAAGGTAAGGAAACTTAAAAAGAATACATACCTATATATGTGTACACACACACACACAATCAATTTCTGTAAAAGATTCCTTGAAGTTATTCTTCATAATTTTCTCATTTCCTTCACTCAGATCCTTGTTTTTTATCTCCTTTTTCTGTGTTTTATTTTTCTTCATCTTTTTTCTTTTTTTAAAAAATGTATTTTTTAATATATTTTATTGATTTTTTACAGAGAAGAAGGGAGAGGGATAGAGAGTTAGAAACATCGATGAAAGAAAACCATCGATCAGCTGCCTCCTGCACACTCCCCACTGGGTATGTGCCCGAAACCAAGGTACATGCCCTTGACTGGAATCGAACCCAGGACCCTTGAGTCCGTAGGCCGACGCTCTATCCGCTGAGCCTAACTGGTTAGGGCCTTTTTTCTTTTTTTCCCTTGTTTACACTTGTATTTTTTAAATTCTATTCTTTTTAAATATCTCCATGCAACTTTATTTTTTTATGCTGCATTAGAATAGAATGATACCAGATTGGTACCATACTTATTATAGAGCTTGAGAATTTTTTGTAGGACCAGTTTTATTTTGCTTTTATGTAATAAAGGCTTCTGGTATTTTGGGTCATGTTTATATATTACTAATTCACTTCTTTCTCTGAGTCTTATGAATCGGTATTAGGACATATAGTACTATGGAATATGTGTGCTTTACCTGTGCATCATATACATTGAACTTAAAAAAATATACTACTTATATAAGAATCTAGGTTTAGTGTACACATAATGGACTGCATAGATCCATAACACCATCAGAAGAATAGAATTTAGATAAATTTTTGTCGACTTTGACAAAAGTTTTAAATATTTATATAATTTTAAATATTTGGATAAGAGATATTTTCAGAATAGTTTTACTGGTTTAAAGCAGTCTATACATTTGAGAAAATTCCAACTAGTTAAAAAAATAATTCCTGCCGAGGCCGGTTTGGCTCAGTGGATAGAGCGTCGGCTTGCGGACTGAGGGGTCCCGGGTTCGGTTCCGGTCAAGGGCATGTACCTGGGTTGTGGGCACATCCCCAGTGGGAGGTGTGCAGGGGGCAGCTGGTCGATGTTTCTCTCTCATCGATGTTTCTAGCTCTCTGTCTCTCTCTCCCTTCCTCTCTGTGGAAAATCAATAAAATATATTTAAAAAAATAATAATAATAATAATTCCTCTAATACTTATAATCTGTGTTCTCATCACTTAAAGCCATGGCATCACTCTAGAAAGTTTCTATTTTTTTTAGTGTTTATCAAAGAAATTTAAAACTTCATAGTCATAGTACTTAGCAATAAAAAGAACAAACTCAATATAGGCAGTAATGTGGATGAATCTCAAAATCCTGCTGAGTGAAAAAAGCAGTGAAAGAAGCTGCACACAGCCCTAGCCGGTTTGGTTCAGTGGATAGAGTGTCAGCCTGCAGACTGAAAGGTCCCGGGTTCGACTCCAGTCAAGGGTACATGCTTGGGTTGCGGGCTCGATCCCCGGTAGGGGACGTGCAGGAGGCAGCCGATCAATGATTCTCTCTGTTTCTATTTCTCTCTCCCTCTCCATTCCTTCCTCTCTGAAATCAATAAAAATAACAAAAAAAATTAAAAAACAGTGAAGAATTTAAAATAAATTTTAAAAAAAAGAAAGAAGCTGCACACAAAGGGAACATACTGTCTGATGTATGTAAAACTCCAAAGAGAGCAAACTAAATTCCTATGGCAGAAAGCAGACTGTGATTGCCTGGGGGTGGGTAGAGGGAGGGAGGGACTGCAAAGGGACACAAGAAACTTTTGGGTGAAGGTGTAACATCTATCAGTGCTTATCAAATTGTACACTTAATATGTGAAGTTTATATTCTGTGTGAATTATACCTCAATAGAGTTGTAAGCAGAAAAAATGATAGAAATAAAAATAAATGCCAGTTATAGCAGAAATGGGTTTAAAATACAGACTTAAATATACATATTTATATTGGTATATCTTGAGCAATTAGATTTTACTGAAGACTTCATTATTTTGCTTTTAAGTATTTTGTGCATTTTCAGTGAGATATTTGATATAAACTAAAGGAAATAAACCTGACATGTATCACACAAACCTTTACTCTAATACTTTTAAATTTAAAAAAATATTTATTTAATTTATTGGGGTGACATTGCTTAATATAATTATATAGGTTTCAGGTGTGCAATTCTATAATAAATCATCTGTATATTGTATTGTGTGTTTAACACCCCACTTCAAGAATCCTTCATCACCATTTATTCTCCCTTTACCCTCTTCACCTACTGCTAACTCCCTTTCCCTCTGGTAATCATCATACTGGTGTCTGTGTCTATGAGGTTATTTTGTTTGTTTGTTTGGTTGGTTGGTTTTTTGTTTTTGTTTGTTTTTTTTGCTTAATCCCTTCACCTTTTATACCCAGCCTCCCAACCCCTCCTCCCTCTTGATAGCTGTCAGTTTGTCCTCTAGCTATAAGTTCGCGTTTTTTTTTTAATTTATTTTTTTTATTGCTTAAAGTATTACAAAGAGTATTACATATGTCTCCTTTTTTTTTTCTCCCCTTGACCTTCCCCTGGCCTCCCCTACTCCCCAGTGTCTTGTGTCCATTGGTTATGCTTATATGCATGCATACAAGTCCTTCAGTTGATCTGTTACACCGCCCCCTCCTTCCCCGCCACCGCCAGCCCTCCCCAGACTTCCCGCTGTAGTTTGACAGTCTATTCGATGTTGCTCTGCCTCTGTATCTATTTTTGTTCATCAGTTTATAATGGTCTTAATTATCCATAAATCAATGAGATCATGTGGTATTTTTCTTTCATTGACTGGCTTATTTCACTTCGCATAATGCTCTCCAGTTCCATCCATGCTGTTGCAAATGGTAAGAATTCCTTCTTTTTTACAGCAGCATAGTATTCCACTGTGTAGATGTACCACAGTTTTCTAATCCATTCATCTATTGATGGGCACTTAGGCTGTTTCCAGATCTTAGCTATGGTAAATTGTGCTGCTATGAACATAGGGGTGCATATATCCTTTCTGATAGGTGTTTCTGTTTTCTTGGGATATATTCCTAGTAAGTTCATTTCTTTTTGTTTGTTAGTTTATTTTGTTCATATTCTACATATAAGTAAAATCATATGATGACTGGCGTATTTCACTTAGCATAATAGTCTCCAGGTCCATCCCTGCTCTTGCAAAAGGTAAGATGTCCTTCCTTTTTCACAGCCAGGTAGTATTCCATTGTGTTAATGTACCACGGCATTTTTCTCACTCATCTACTTTTAATTTTAAAATTATCAGATTTGCCGTTTATTATTTTACCTAGGCCACTTGATAATGGCAACTGTCTATCTTTAAATAATAGGAAGTACTCTTTAACACATAAACCTTCTTGCTCCTGAGGCCTTTGTTTCTGCTATAGAGGAATATAGAAGTTAGGAATGGTCTAGGTTCTGTAATCAAGAGTTTCTTGAGGTTCCTTCTAATAGACCTTATTATACTTAGCTATAGTCTTTGGGCAGTTCTGTTTAGAAGTGTTTTGTATTTTAAATGAATTATTTCTATGGACCCCTACAAAAGACTAGATTTTAATAAGGTAACTTGTTGAGTTGTTTAAAATGTCCATATTTTGTAACTTTCATACATTTAAGCAATGTATTGAGCAATAATTATCCAGAAAAATACATCTTTTTTAAAAATATATATTTTTACTGATTTCAGAGAGGAAGGTAGAGGGAGCGAAAGATAGAAACATCAATGATGAAAGAGAATCATTGATCAGCTGCCTCCTGCACGCGCCCCCTACTGGGGATGGAGCCTGCAACTTGGGCTAGTGCCCTTGACCAGAATCAAACCCGGGACCTTTGATTTCACAGGCCGATGCTCTATCCACTGAGCCAAACCAGCTAGGGCCAGAGTAATACTTTATGTCTTAATAATTCCAAGCCCTCTTCCCTAAAGAGGGGGGAAAAACAGACCATTACTACCTAAATTTGTAATATAAAATTTCTTTTTACTAGTGATTTGAAATTCTTACTGATTTTTAAGACAGCCTCTGCCTTTTAATGGTGAATTTGAACTTTCTGGGGACTTATTTTTTATATAGACTCTTCAGATAAAGTGTATTTAAACCTCAATAATTACTATAAATACTTTATCTGTTGAAAATGTTTATATACATTTTTTTATCAACAGACCATTTTTCTTCATTTTAGGAAGCAGAATGGGTTGATGAGAAAGAATCGCTTATTAAAGTAGCTGCAATTGATAATGGTCTAGCATTTCCTTTTAAACATCCTGATGAGTGGAGAGCATGTGAGTATTTAGAACCTTCTGTAGGTTCTCTAATTACCCTTTTTCCAGAAAAGGAAGGGAACAAAATTTATGATCATTAAACTGGCAGAATAAAAACCAGGTGACGTATCATTCATTAGGACTCTATTTTAGGCACTAGATGCAGAGATGTGTGCTACATGGGACTTACCATGCATATTTGCTTATCTTTAGTTAACTGTGTCTGGTTTTGATTTTTTGGCTTGTGTTAGCATTGTAAAGTAACTTTGATAGTTTTCCAAATTTAAATATATATATGATAAATATATATATTATCTATATGTATAAAAGCCTAAGCGACTGTCTGACCATCCGACTGGTAGCTATGACACGCACTGACCACCAGGTGACTTGGCACCTGCGGCTCTCTGGTGATGTACCCAGAACCAGAGAGGAGGGAGCCCGATTCTGGGGTGCGTCACCAGAGAACTGCCTTCTTGCAATCCAGGACCCCTCGGGGATGTCGGAGAGCCGGTTTCGGCCCGATCCCTGCAGGCCAAGCCGAGGGGCCCTACCAGTGCACGAATCCATGCACCGGGCCTCTAGTATATAAATAACATGGTAATTATCTGTTTAATACTTTGGTAGAGCTTTATTTTAATGTTTTGGGGAACATTCACTGATAAAACAATTTAAGTCTTAGCTCCCTCCCCCTTTTTTTAGTGACTGGTGCTTTAACTGTCTTACCAGTCTCTACTGGTTTGGTTTCTATGTCTCAAAAGTCCGGTTTCTGTGTCTTCTTAAGCCAGTTTTGGACATTTTTATTTTGCTTAAAATTGTACATATCTTGAGTTGAGATTTATGGGTATAAGGTTTTTTATATAATTTTTTTATAAATAAGAAAATTTCTCTGTTTTACTAAGTATTTAGCGGTGAATTGTTGTCTGGAATTTGCCTTAAAATACTTGAGGATAGATGAAACCAATTTTATAAAAATTTGGGAATAATTGAATTAGATTATTCAGAATATGGGAGCTCATAGTACTAGTTTTTTTCTATCTTTGTATATGTTTAAAATATGTGTAATAAATTTTAAAAGTAATCTCTGTATCTATGACTATGCCTCTCTTAAATTTCTACTGTTCATTAGTAGCCTTTTTTTCTTCATTAGAGTTACCAAAGATTTGTCTATTATAAAATATTGATCAAATTTTCAGTTTATTTGCTTTTGCTTTTTTGTTGATAATTTGTTTTCCATTATTATTTTCTTCTGTATTTATCCTATATTGTTTTCCTATATGTTTTTCTTTAGGTATCATTTTGACTAAGCCATAGATTGGGCATGCTCTATTATTCTGCTTTATAGATTCATACTTTCAGATTTTCTTTACATTTTTTTACACTTTTTTTTTTTTTTTTAAGAGAGGAAGGGGGCGAGAGAGAGAGAGAAACATCAATGATGAGAGAGAATCATTGATTGGCTGCCTTCTTCACTCTCCACACTGGGGATGGAGCCCACAACCCAGGCATGTGCCCTTGACTGAAATCAAACCCAGGACCCTTCATTCCTCAGGCCTATGGTTTATCCACTGAGCCAAACCGGCTAGGGCCAGATTTTCTTTTTGACGGGAGTAATTTAGAAGTATTTTGTTTCGTTGTAAACTTTCTAGATCAGTTGATTTTTTAAAAAAACTGTCCATTGTTATTTTCAAGTTTTCTTACTTTTTGATCTGTGAATGTGTCTGTGTGAAATCTACTTTTTGAAACTTGTTAATAATTTCTATGTAATCTAATATATGGCCAATTTGAAGGACTGTATTTGAAAAGAATGTGTTTGGGCACAATTAAAGCTTTTTAGTTGTTAGTTAAATCATATTCTTGACTTATTTTTTGACTATTTGATATGTTAATTTTGGAGAGAAAGTTAAAGTTCATTGTGATTGTGATTTTGTCAATTTCTTACATTTCTATACAGGTTTTGCTTTGTATTTCACATTCCTAATGGCCCAGCACTTTATTTTGCCTGTGGTTTGTTCTTTTATCAGTGTGAAATATATCCTGCTTTATTCCTCTTAAGGATTTTTTGTCTGTTATAACACTGGTATACTTTATTTCTTTTTATTAGCATTTACCTGGTATTATTCTATACTTCTATTTTTAACTTTCATCATTTTGTTTTAAGTATATGACTCATAAACATCACTTAGCCAGATATTTTTTAACCTAGCGTGAGATTCTTGTAATAGGTACACTTAATTCTGTAGCTTATCTCAATAAACTATTGATACTTTGAACTTTTACTGCCATCTTATTTTTTTTATCTTAAATTCCAATTATTTTTTTTCCTATTTTTATTGAACTGACCTGATATGTCTTCGTTTCATTTATTTTTCTCTAATGATTTGGAATTTGTATGCATACTGCACTTTAAAAGTGTTAAGTTAAAGTTACCTACAATACATGTGGGAAATTTTATCAAACACACACAGTTGGGGATTGAGGGGCTTTGAACTTGAAAGAAGAAATAGTATTGAGGATATAGTTTTTAAACTGTCACCTTGGTAGTGGGAGCCATGGTGTTGTTTGCTATTACCCAGGGAAATCATGGTGAACAAACCATCACTAGGATAATTCAAAGTACGTAAGTACTCAGTGTTTCATGAATGTTCTGTAAATGAACGAGAAAAAAGGAGTAAGGATAGAATCTGAGGGAGTGGTGACATTGAAGAAGAAAAGCCATCCTAGGAGAGAAGTGACTTAAAAGACAGAAGGTAAACTTTGAGAGTGGTATCTCCAAAGGCACATTAGGAGATCAGGAGATGATCGAAAACAGTGCTATGTGATAGAGACACTAAGTAGATGAGGACTGCAAATGGACCTTTGGAGAGGCTCCCATGTGATCACTGCTGGGAGAGAGTGATAGTAAAATTGTGGGGTACGGGTTGGAAGTAGAGTCAGGAGTTAGAATAAAGGCTTTTCTTTTGATGTAATTTATTAGGGAATGATAAAAAGGAAATTGGATATAACTTCAGGGAGATACGCAGGAAACTGAATATGCACTCTTACTGCTTTACAAATCTTTTAGTCCTGGCTGTGGAGATAATGATCCTCTTGGAAGAGAACTACAGTTATCTGGGAATGGTGGGTCTTTTATCCCTTAAAGCTACTCACCTATTTACCTACTGATGATTTAAAATTTTAGAAGATCGTGTGTTTTGGTGGTGGTGGGTGTGTGTGTGTGTGTGTGTGGCCAATTCCTGATGATTTGTGGCTGGAAGGGCAGGGAGACCTCAGCCAACAAGTTTTTGATCTAGAGCTCTAAACAGATTATAGCTATCTCTTAATTTCCAAACTTAGGAACCAGAGATTCAAATATATGTATTTAAATAGGGCTGTTTGAAATAGACTCATATCAAAACTCTTACTCTTTAAAACCCAGAACCTAACTACTTCAGGTAAAACCTTGTGTTTTGTTGTCTGAATTGAAAATCCAAACTTGGAATCTGAGTAATCCAGATAGCAAAGGATAATTGTTCTCTGACAACTTCTCTCTCCAGTCTGTTTTTTGTTTTGTTTGTTTTTTGAGAACCTGGGAATTGTAGGAAAAGAACCAGGATATACAAAATAAAAAAACAAAACAAAAGAACTAGGATAAATGTGGGTCAAAATACACCCTTTCCCCCTCTGATTAGAAACCTTTTTTTCTGTTAGATCCATTTCACTGGGCTTGGCTTCCTCAAGCAAAAGTTCCTTTTTCTGAAGAAACAAGAAACTTGATTCTACCAAATATTTCTGACATGAATTTTGTGCAAGATTTATGTGAAGATCTCTATGAACTTTTTAAGGTAAATAAATTTTTAGTTTTAATTATTACAGAAAATGAAATCTTAAAATAGAAGAGGTTTTCTCGGTAGAGTTAATTTGCAGTTTACTGTTTTTGGTATCACTTCTTGCAGTAGAACTTGACATAACAGAAAGAAATTAGCAGTTTTACTCTTACTCTACAGGAGCATAAATTTGTGAAGTTACACTTAACTGTGAGTATTCTTTGAAGTGAAACTTAAAACTTGAGAAGTTATTTTCTTCAAAAGTTGAATATTTAAGTAATGACTCTAAAAATTATAACAAATGTTTGGTGACCTGTAATAATCTACTTCTTTCAAAAAAACCTAAACTCATTGGCAGTGGTTCTCAACCTTCCTAATGCCGCGACCCTTTAATATAGTTCCTCATGTTGTGGTGACCCCCAATTTCATTGTTACAAATTGAACATAATTAAAGCATAGTGATTAATCATAAAAACAATATGTAATTATATATGTGTGTTCCAAAGGGGTCACGACCCACAGGTTGAGAACTGCTGGGCTAGCGTGTCATTTTAAATCCTTCCTGGAACAAGTTAGAGTATAAATAAACTATTCTTATCATTCTAGGGGTATACAAAAATACCTCAGGTAAAAACTTTCTAATGACCTTAGGAGCCAAGTTGAAAGAGTTCATTTGTTTTCAAATATTTGATTCAAAGATCTTGAATTTTGTAATTATAATGATTTTTTTTTCTTTTCTGTGATAGACTGACAAAAGATTTAACAAAGCCACTTTTGAAAGTCAGATGTCTGTGATGAGGGGCCAGGTAGGTCACTTTTTCACAAGCTTGCTAAGAAAAAAATTCCTCTTTGAAATACTAATCAACTTTTTTCTCCATTGTGACCCAGATACTGTTTTTGCTGAACCAAAATAGCTCAGATGATTAGAAATGAAGTTGATTTCAATAGTATCTTTCCTCTATTGTCTTGTAAATTAGATATCACTGACTTTATTGTATTTTGTTTAGTTACCCAGAACCCTACTGTGAATTCTTTGTCTTTATTTTGGTAACTATCAGTATTTTCCTGATAGTTATCTTTTTTTTTTTTTCTGATTGTTATCTTTCCCTCCCAATTCCACCTTCTTAGAGCACTCGTGCCTTTTGATTATTTGATTATTTGTCTGTTTGGCCTTTGCAAGAGCAGTCAGTAAATAATCATGTCACCAAGGTTGAGCACTGATTGGGGCATAAAAGTACTAATTGTAACTCAGTCCTCTCACCCCGCCTCACCTCCTCTAAGAAGAAATACAAGATATTAGGTCGGCTGCTGTGGACCTGCAGGCTGGGCTGACCGACAGATTACAACGGGTCTTCTACTCTGTTAGTAGTATTTAGATTCCAAAAGGAAGACTTGAAATGAAAATAAATTACACTGTAAGAAATGAAAATAAATTACACTGTAAACAGTCTTTTGGTGACTTGTTAAATTAACTTTTTCTTCCTAAAATATACATTTAAGGTGGCTGTTTGCTGCACCCCTGGGGCAAAAAGACGAGTCTAGATTTTGCACTGACTGTTATATAACTTTAACAAATAAATATAATTAGCCCTAGCTGGGTTATCCCAGTGGTTAGAGCATTGGCCGTGTATTGAAGGGTCCCAGGTTTGATTCTGGTCAAGGGCACATGCCAGGTTCCAGGCTCAATCCCCAGTAGGGGGCGTGCAGGAGACAGCTGATGAAGAGTCTCTCTCATCATTAATGTTTCCATCTCTCCCTCTCCCTTCCTCTCTGAAATCAATACAAATATATTTTAAAAAGTAAAATTAAAGGAATCAATATAATTAAATTAGATAATCATTTACTCACCAGTTGGTTGAGCTGGTTTGATTCCTGGTCAGGGTTCATGCCAGGTTTCGGGCCCAAGGCAGCATGCTTACCAGAGGCAACTGATTTATGTATCACTCTCACATCGATGTCTCCCTCTCCTCCTCCCTCCCCCTCTTCCTCCCTCTCCCTCTCCCCCTCCTCCCTCCCCCTCCCCTTTCCCCCCTCCTCCCTCCCCCTCCCCCTCCCCCTCTTCCCTCCCCCTCCCCTCTCCCCCTCCTCCCTCCCCCTCCCCTCTCCCCCTCCTCCCTCCCCCTTTCCCCCCTCCTCCCTCCTCCCTTCCCCTCCCCCTCCCCCTCTTCCTCCCTCTCCATCTCCCTCTCTGTAAAATCAGTAATAACATTTAAAAGAAAGAACTGCTGTAAGTTAGGCTGGACAGTGGGGTGCGGTTTACTCAGTGGATGAAGAGTCTGGAGCAGCCGTGGACAAACTACGGCCCGCGGGCCGGATCCGGCCCATTTGAAATGAGTAAAACTAAAAAAAAAAAAAGACCGTACCCTTTTAGGTAATGATGTTTACTTTGAATTTATATTAGTTCACACAAACACTCCATCCATGTTTTTGTTCCGGCCCTCCGGTCCAGTTTAAGAACCCATTGTGGCCCTCAAGTCAAAAAGTTTGCCCACCCCTGGTCTGGAGCCTCACAGGGATGTTTCCCGTAATTCAGGCATGAATGAAGGGCTTAGATGATCAGTGGCTGTAATTATATTGCAGTGTTACCATCCCAACTATTTTTGAGCTAAATTTTCAAGCATTAATAATTATGCCTGAATTTGACCTTTTTTGCTGGAAACAAATTAATTTATCGGTATGCTCCATCTTCTGGCATTGTTATATCCTTAAATATATATATCTTTATCGTAGGAATAATTTTAAAAAATAAAAGCTGTAATTAATTTTGTAAGCTTTTTAAGTGTTGATTAAAGTTGGTACATGAGGAATTTAAATTTTAAAATACTTATCTGAAAAGATATAGAGATATTCCATTACTGAATGTGGTCTATTAAAAGATATACCAGTCTCTATCTGATTTTTATTTATTAATATCCTATCTCATTCACAAAGGAGTTCTAGTATTATACAGATGTGTATAATAAAATAGAAAAATCACAGGATCAAGATAGGGGGCAAGAGCCTGGCTGGTGTGGTTCAGTGATTGAGCTTCAGTTGACCTATGAACCAAGAGGTCAAGGTTTATTTCCCGGCCAGGGCACATGCTGGGTTGTGGGCTTGATTCCCCAGTGGGGAGCGTGCAGGAGGCAGCTGATCAATGATTCTCTCTCATCATTGGTGTTTCTATCTCTCCCTTTCCCTTCCTCTCTGAAATAAAAAAATATATATATATTAAAAAAAGAGATATGGGGAAATAAAAAATAAAATAATGCCTTTATATGTTTTAATTTAATTTAATTTTTTTGATTTGATTTTGACTTCTTTGAAACCAGAAAGAGCAGGGCACCTGACCGTGTACATCATTATGTAGCTCTCTAGTTTTAACTGTATTTTTTTAAATCTGGTGTGAAAAATCAGGTAGTATTTTTATATTCTAAAGTAAATCAGTGCTTAATGAAACAGAGACTTAACAAAAACAAATAACACTAACCTATGTTCCAAACAACAGAATCATCATTTAGCTATTTCCTTAATTGAGTCAAATTACTTGTGTTATTTCTATCACTTGTAATTATCCCTTAAATCCCTCTTTTCAGTTTTGCCAATTAACTTTATGATTTGTGCTTTGTACAACCAAGTCTTTTGCCCTCGTTATATACTAACTCTTTAGTTTTATACACATAATCAGTGACATGCTCTAATTCTTCACATAAAGATGTGGAATGGGCCCTGACCGGTATGGCTCAGTGGATAGAGCGTCGGCCTGCGGACTGAAGGGTCCCAGGTTCAACTCCGGCCAAGGGCATGTACCTTGGTTGCAGGCACATCCCCAGTAGGGGGTGTGCAGGAGGCAGCTGATCAATGTTTCTCTCTCATTGATGTTTCTAACTCTCTATCTCTCTCCCTTCCTCTCTCTAAAAAATCAATAAAATATATTTTTTTAAAAAAAGATGTGGAATGGAACTCAAAACTAGAATGAAGAAATTTCTTTTAAAATCTGGGCTAGTAATGTTTAGGAAAGTTAAAGATAAACTGTGTTTTGAATTTTACATTAAATAGCAGTAGGGCAAAATGTTTATTTTTTCCCTGTGCCAATATGGAACACTAGACCTCAGAAAATATAAGAGAAAAAAAAAAGTGGAACAACAAAATAATGTTTCTCTCGTCAATCACTAACTTGAAAAGGTATTTATTTATTTCAACCCTACTTCCAGTGCTAGTGTACTTTCCATAAAACGTGAGCTTTCCAAGAGAAAGCCCTCGCCCTAGCCGGTTTGGCTCAGTGGATAGAGCGTTGGCCGGTGGACCAAAGGGTCCAGAGTTCGATTCTAGTCAAGGGTACATACCTTGGTTTCAGGCTCCTCCCTGGCCTGGGCCCTGGTCTCAATCTCTCTACCTTTCCCTCTCACTTCCACTCTCCCTAAAAATCAATGGAAGAATATCCTTGGGTGAGGATTAACGAAAAAAACAATTAAAAATAAAAAAGCGCTCCTTTTTCCATGCTTCTATTTTTGCTTGAAAACATGTATAAACTTCTTCTTTTTCCTAGTTTATGTTTCCTACTTAAGAGTTAGCTCTTAAATCTTTATTTTAAATGGCTGCCTTCTCCAATTCTGTAACCCACTTGCCCACTGGCCATGCATCTTGCTTTTTCATGGTGCTTTTGTCTTCTAGTACATGGTGTAATTTACTTATTAATAATGTTTATCGATTCCTTCTGCTAAAATAGAGCTCCATGAAGGCAGGGATTTGGTTTGCTTTTTTAGTGTTGTATCCCAATACTAGAACAGAGTCTACCATGTAGTTTGCTTACAGTAAATGTATTTGTTGAATGAATGGATAAGGCAAGTATTTAGTTTTAAAACCAGACTATTTAGACCAGTATTTGTTTAGGTTCTATGCCAAGAATATGTTTATTCAGTCTCTGATTTCATTTTTCTTGGACATTCTAGAATATTTTAAAGGTACCAGTTGGCAAAAGTTATTTAATTTTAAATTTGTGCACTTGTGTATATTTATATATGTGTGTATGTATATACGTCCATACAATATATATTTAAGGCAGTTATCCTCATCATAATCTATTGAGCGTAAACAGATGAAATAAAAATTATAATTATGAATAAATGGTTAAACTAATGTCAGTGAACTGAAGGGTTTTTATCTTTTTTGAACTGGTGAAAATGTCTCCTTTTCACAGATCTTAAACCTGGCCCAGGCTTTGAGGGAAGGGAAGAGTCCTGTCCAGCTGGTACAGATGCCTTGTGTGCTTGTGGAACACAGTCCAGGGAGAACGAAGGGTCGGGTTTCCCAGCTCAACAGTTCCTTCACCCAGAGCTTCCACTGCAGGAAGCCTTTTTTTACCTCCTGGTAGCACATATAAGAGAACAAACTGTTGGCATCATTGTGTTGTTAAAATGCTTCATTTGCCAAAGCCTCAAGTAATACAAGTCTTTAAAAGGTTATGTTTTGAATGTAATCAAAAGTTTACAGTTTTTTGTCCAAATATTAAATTCTTATTTCAGGGAAAAAGTGCCATATCTTCTATGTAGTATTTTTGTAGGAAAACTTGTACTTGGTTGTTGATGTTAGTTTAAAAGGTAATTTCATGGTTTACACATTCTGAAATGACTAATTACTTTAGAATTCCAAATAGAAAAATAAGGTACTTGTTGACTTTGAATAAAATAACTTTTTATATACTTTTTAAACATGGAGAAGAATGTTCGTGTTAACTCTTCTTACATTATAAAGGCCTTCTGAGTGTAAAACTGGTCTTCTGAACTCTAATCGATTCATTAATAGAAAAACAGGTAAGAATAAAGCAATGCTGCCTTAATTAAAAAGCTGCTATTTTAGAATTTGAATAAGTGCCCCTAAAGTGACCAATGTGAGGGACCAGAAAAGTATATCTTGGTTAAGTAATAGATGACCATTTTCTTTTTTGTACTTAAGAATATTTTTGCTCAATTATATAACTATAGTGAGAAAAAGATCTAAAGATATCACCTTTAAAAAATGGAAACACTCAACTGAGACTTGAGGGAAGTTATATAAAATTATAGTAGATTCATAATGTTTTTGAAATTCCAAAGTAGCATTAAAAATTCGTTTTTGTTCTTTGCATCAGATCAATTACATAATAAATTAGTGCTACCCCAAAATACTAGTCTCTTTTAATTTAGTACTTTGGTTAGTATTAAACTTCACTGAAAATTAAACCATACCTCAAATTGCATGTCAGATTGTATTTTAGGGACCTAGGACATAAACTATTAAAAAATAATAGTAGCATGCCCAGTGTGTGTGGCTTAGTAATTGAACATTGACCTATGAACCAGGCGGACAAGGTTCGATTCCCTGTCAGGGCACATGCCCCGGATTACAGTCTTGATCCCCAGTGGGCAGCATGCAGGAGGCAGCCAATCAGTGATTCTCTTTCACCATTGATGTTTCTGTCTTTTTCTTACTCTCCCTGCCTCTCTGAAATCAATAAAAAATATATATTTTAAAATAACAGTAGTGTTTTAAGGGACTTGACAATCTCAATGTCATAATTACAGTCAAATTTAGAATATCAGCCCTAATTAAAGTGGACCATAACAGAGGTAATCACAAAATCATTTATATTTGATTTTACATATCAATATGTCTGACATCATGGGAATTTGTAGCACTTATAACTCACCAAGTGATTTAAATTAAGATGAACCCAATGTGAAGATGTAGTTCCAAAGAAGCAGAAGTTTCATTCTCTTCTTCAGGCTCCAAACAAATAACACCACCTCTTGGACTAAACTGGGTGGTTTGTGGTCGTGGCCATGATGAGTTGAGAGTACTGCTGTCCAAGTAGAAATGTTCTCCTACCTCCACCCACCCTTCATCATCGAAAGGTTGAGGTGATGGAAAACTGGAAGCTTAAAGCCCAAGCTACTATCTTTAGATAAATACTACTCATTGAAATGTGCCTTTGAAGATGTGTTCTAAAAGAACTAAGTTGTTATGATGTAGGTACTGCTTTCATAACATGGTTGTTTTCAGTATTTTGAGAATTGCGATATTAATTTTTATAATGAAAACTTTAGTAAATTGCTACAGTTTTATATCCTAAAATTAAAACAGTGTGTAAATATTTTTTAAAGGTCTGATCAGGCCAGAAAAGTTAAGTTGAAATATTTAAGATGTGATTATAAGTCAGAGTACATTGGTTATATTTTGTAAATTTTCATGAACTTAATTGTTATTTAAATGTTGTGTTAATTTTTTCAGTGAGTATGTTATAGTGTCAAATGGTAGACTAAAGGGAATAAAAACCATCATTGTCTTAAGGCGAGATTTCTCCGGGTGTATATATTGAATATTTAGAAAGTTTGTGAACACATTTATGTTTGTAAATGATGACAAACCACCATTTTCTTGCTTTAGATCATAGTGGTATAGTTAATTCTTTGTAATTCTAAAAGGTATATTTAACTGGAACCTTTATAATTGGAGACATTTTAATTTTTATTAAATTATATGCTGCCTTATTCTCCCCCAAATTTGTCAGCAATTGAAGACTGTGGAAACATGGTGTTTTACAGACTTGAAAACAATTTGATTCACAATTTATTTTTAAACATTTAAAAAACTATACTAGTGGAATTAAAACTTCATTTTAAAATGCTGGTGACATGCTACTTGATCAGATTACGTTGCAAGTCCTTTACGATATGTGAAGGGACAGGCAGCATCTTGTTTTACAGTCTACCTTCTCTCCCAGAGGTGCTGGGGCGCCTGTGCAGAGTGGTGGCGAAGACTCTCAGTGTCCTCTGTTTTCAAGCCTACGATGCAGTTAGTTTGGGGCCATGTGACTGTGTTCTGACCAGTCACAGAGCTTTGGGGACAAGTGATGTGTGACTTTAGATGCGGCAGTAAAACTCACTGCCATCAATCAGTGGTCATGACTGAACAGTCTCCCAGCTTCCTGCTTGGCTGTAAACACACAGTTTGCAAAATGGAAACAGCGGGGACCTCATGAGGCACTGCTTAGAGAGGAGAGCCTGCTGACTTCATTGGACTGACATGAACAAGAAATAAATGTATTATTTAGTCACAAAACTTGAATTTAGTCATTACTAAAGCATAATTGTCTGTCCTGTCCTGGGCATTATAAGGTAAATAGAAAAATATAAATCATTTAAAAATAAAAAATCAGTTATAGGAGGCATGATGACAGCAGCAGTGGGTCTTCTTTTAATCTCCCAAATCCCCATGCAGCTATCCTATAGCAAAAGAAAAAACAACTCCGTGGCCCCATCTTCACTAAAATTAGGTGCTGGACTGTCCCTGTGAATCCTAGAACCTGACTAAAACCATCAATAGCAACAGGATCATGTGGGAACAAGAGCTTTGAGGAGCAAGCAGAGAAAAAGTAAGGGAGAACTTGTGATGTTTGTAAGAGCCAAAGGACCCAGAATTTGGCAACATGTACTCAGCCCCAAAGGAGGAATCCACAGTAGTGGTGGCAAGCTCAGCCTGTAGATCCAAAAATCACAATCACAATTGGGAAAGGCTGTCCAGCAATAAATTACTATATCCTAGTAAAAGGAGCTGCAGAAAGGTATGAGGGTGCTAGGGCAACCTGGGTCTTCAGGGTTCTCAGGAAGTAGCGCTGTGAGTGCACATAGGCCTACACCAGGGGAAACGTGGCTATAGCATACACATTGACAAGGGAAGGACGCTGGGGGTAAAGGTGAGAAGGTTCAGACACTGAATAGAACAGGACCAAATAAAACAAGTCAGAAAATACCAAAGAGAACACAGAAAACCGTATTATATAATACTGTTAAGTAACTTACAGGAGAGAGAACCCTAGAACCACAGAACGGAAATGCCTGGCTCACCTTACCTCCTACACAGGAATCTTTGAAAAATATAGATAAAACCATGTCACTTAAACATGACTAATACGCTCTTAAAAAACACACACAGGATAATCTGTTTAACACACCCACAGAAAATGAAGATAGCCCAGAAACATTTACAAAGCAGAGGAAAATAATGTTTTTTAAAATGCTAAAGGATATTCAGAAATGATAGAACCTAAGAACAACATGACATCAAAATTGGGAAAGTTCAAAAATGAGATAGGCAAGCAACAGGGAGAAATAAAACAAGAGCTAAAGCTCAGGAAATTTTAGAGTTAAAAATATGTTTCAGAAATAAACTAGCAGTAACATGACAAGGAGGCCTGCTTTCATTGCTCCTGTTCAGTATTCTGTAGAGCCACCCAGTGCAGTAAGGGCAGGGAAGAGGTAAAAGGTATGAGGGTCAGAAAGTAAGAAATAAAAAATGTCATTATTTACAGATGACATAATTACACATGTAGAAAGTTCAAAATAATCTGATAACTCTTAGAATTAATAAGTGAATTTTGTAAAGCTTATATACCAGCAACATTGGTTAGAAAAAAAATTTTTAAAGATACCATTTATAGCAGCAATAAAACATCAGATTCAATCAAAGATATGCAAGATTCTTACACCAAACTATGAGTATTGAGAAAATTGCAGTAAATACGGATGAGATGCCCACAGTGGTCGGTGTTTTTCAAACTCTGTCATTTTCCATGTTTCAATCATTAAAAGAACTAGAGGCCCAGTGCACGAATTTCGTGCACGAGTGTGGTCCCTAGGCCTGGCTGTCAATCAAAGCACAAGCGTCAGGCATGGGAAGGCAGATCCCAGCTGACCTCTGGGCCTTGGGCAGCACTTGGACCCCCAAGCCCCCACACGCCCCCCTCCCCCTGAATCGTGGCACCCGAGTCCCCATGCAGAGATGCAGTGAGTGCAGCTGGACACCATAGGCCTGGGTGCAGCATGGGCCTCTGGGCTGCCCAGTAGCACCACATGGAAGCCAGGCAGGTAGTGTGCTGTCTCCCAGCTGGCCTCGCAGACTGGCTACTGAGCAAACCCAAAGGGAGCCTGACCTGCCCCTGCAGTCCCAGTGGCTGCAGCCTGGCTCACTTGGAAGACAAAAGATGCTGTGCGGGTGTGGGGTGGGTTCCTCGCGGGCGTCCAGCACCTGAACGTGGGGCTTCCCCAGCGCATAAGCCTTGGTATCCTGGGGGAGGTAACAAGGGGAATGAGCGAGTTTGGCAGATACCCCAGCGCATAAACCTTGGTATCCTGGGGGAGGTAACAAGGGGAATGAGAGCGAGTTTGGCAGACACCCCGCATTCTCACCGCACCTCTGTCCCCATCACTCCTGCCCCCATGTAGCCGGCAAGAGGTTGCAGCCCCCCACCCACCACTGGTCACTGCCACCTGGTGGTCAGCACACATAGCGAGCAGTCAAATTTCCAGTCTCTTGGTTGAACTCCTGGTCCAACGACCTCCTGAGGGGACAATTTGCATATTAGGCTTTTATTATATAAGATAAGCCTTGCCCTAGCCAGTTTGGCTCAGTGGATTGAGCGTCAGCCTGGACTGAAGGGTCCCAGGTTCCATACTGGTCGAGGCCACATGCCCAAGTTGTGGGTTCATTCCCCAATTGGGGGGGTGGGAGGGAGGAATGCAGGAGGCAGCTCATCAATGATTCTCTCTCATTGATGTTTCTCTCTCTCCCTCTCCCTTCCTCTCTGAAATCAGTATAAATAAATTTTTTAAAAAAGAATAAGCCTTTATATGAGAACACATTTACATGAATGTTTTGTTTGCCAGCTTTATTAGTTTGCTGGGGCTGCCATAACAAAGTACCACAGACTGAGTGGCTTAACCAACAGAAATTCGTTTTCTGCATCTGAAGACTTGGAGTCCAAGGTCAAAGTGCCAGCAAGGTTGTTTGACCTGCCTCCTTGGACTACAGAAAGCTCCTCATTGTGTCCTCATATGGCCTTTTCTTTGCGCGCACACATCCCCGGTGTCTCCAGCCCTAAAGAATTAGGACCCACCAATATAACCTCATTTAACCTTAATTACTTCTTTAAGGGCCCTATCTCCAAAAATAGTCACATTGGCAGTTAGGCCTTCAACATGAATTTTTTTTTAAAATATATTTTATTGAATTTGTACAGAGAGGAAGGGAGAGGGATAGAGAGTTCAAAACATCGATGCAAGAGAAACATCCTTCAGCCGCCTCCTGCACACACTCTACTGGGGATATGCCCGCAACCAAGGTACATGCCCTTGACCAGAATCGAACCTGGGACCCTTGAGTCCGCAGGCCGATGCTCTATTCACTGAGCCAAACTGGTTAGGGCCAGCATGAATTTTGAGGAGGACACATTTCAGTCCATAACACCACCCAAAGTAAAAAACGTAAGCAGCTACATACGCATTCAATGTCTCTAACATAGCCAAGGTCAGCCTCTGCCTTAGCCAATACTGCAGTCCAGCCACCTTCTGAGTCATATTCCTAATGGAAGACTGAGATCATAATAACACCCACCTGTAAATATTTTCTAAAGTGAAGCCTGAGAGTCTTTCTTCCTAATATTGTGCAGGAACTTTTCAACCTGGATTTGTAATAATTATTTTGTCTACAGAGATAAATGTCTTGCTTACTGCTGGGCTCTTGGTTCTGTTCTACGTAATTGTAAACCATAGCCTCTCATTTCTCACTCATGGCAGATATATGAATTTGCTTTAGCTAGTTTTCATTTCCTTTATAAAATCCCAACTCCTGAATAGATAATAGTTGGTGTGATGGTTATAAATCCCTGATTGAATTCAACACATTTATTAGGTACTCACTGTATGCCAGATTCTCCAAAAGGTATCAGAAAATCTGAAAATGGTATCAAATATTTTCTGTCCAGCCGGTGTGGCTTGGTGGTTGAGCATCGACCTATGAACCAAGAGGTCAGGGTTCAATTCCTGGTCAGGGCACATACCTGGGTTGTGAGCTCAATCCCCAGTTGGGGGTGTGCAGGAGGCAGGTGATGAATGATTCCCATCATTGATACTTCTATCTATTCCCTGCCCTTTCTCTCTAAAATCAATAAAAATTGTATTTTTAAAAATATATTTTCTAAGGAATAAGGTCCTTCCTGATCTTTGATCATATGTCCTACTTCTGCACATTTCTACCTTTGCCTCTTAGATTGTAAATTCTTTGCATACAAGGGAAGGAAAGTAAGTGCTTTGTAAACTAAATGCTTGACTGCCTTTGACTTGAGCTCTCAACATTTTTCTTATTTATTATAGAAGCATATTTTTAATGTCTAGATTTCTCTTGGATTGTGGAGGGTATGACTCATTCAGCCTCTTGGCCCATGGATCAAATATGTATATGACAAAAATGCATTTATCTAAGCAAATTGCATTATTTTTTCATTGAATTTATT